CAGCGGGACAGACAGCCCCTTCAGGGAGACCTCCAATGTTTATGATGGCTCTGCCTTCTGTGCAGGTACAAACAGACACATCTAGAAATACAAGTGAACTCATACTCCTTATACTAACTATACTGAGTAAGGGATAATGTATAGTAATAATGACATAGTAAAATAAACCTGACAAGGTGATTAGGAGGGGTGTTGTATTATCCTGAAAGACTGTTTGAATATATATTATCTTGCTTATTACACAGCTACTCAAAGAATTAAAAATAAAAAAATTATCATGAAAAAAAAAACATGATCTGAATTTTATTAACTGTCATTATACAAAAATATATGACCACAGAATGCTCTGATTGACCAATCAGAAGTATGTATTTCAGAGAGCCTATTTAAAATATAATATATCATATATAATATGTCTGTGCATTTATTATAGACATGGCAGTGCAGAACTTTGTTGGCGATGCATTCCGTGGTGCCACATGGGTTGCTTTGCACAATGGAGGAGGAGTTGGATGGTAAGGAGACATTTGACTATTTATTGCTGAATATTAATTTAGAAATTACTTCTAGTTCAGTCACTAATTGGCTTGTAATTGTGTATTACTGATTGAGCAAAACGAATAAAAATGCACCATAAAAAAAGTTTAGTTAGTAACCAGTAGGGCATCAATTATTGACCCTTATTTTTATTTTTAGGGGGGAAGTGATGAATGGTGGTTTTGGATTGGTTCTGGATGGATCTGAAGACGCAGGGCAAAGAGCTAAACTAATGTTGAACTGGGATGTCTCTAATGGGGTGAGTATCTTTATGTGTGTGTTTATATATACACTTATTATACTGTTATATATAAATACTGATGTGTATATCATTAGGTGGCACGGAGATGCTGGTCTGGCAACGCTAATGCTTATGAGACAATTCAACGTACCATGGAGGACCAGCGTCAGCTGAGAGTCACAATGCCCAACCCAGTACTGGAAGATCAAATTCTGGACCGTGCACTGCAGGGATAGACTAGAGGCTTATTGAAATATAATATTATTCATTAAAATGCAACAGAATGAGTGTCTATGAACACACTTTCACATACCAGGAAAAAATAAAAATCAGTTTAAGTAACACAAGTACTGTTCTATTCAATCAGGTTGGACAATGGAATGCTTATATAGTCTGTAAAATTTAAATTCTACATAGTCAAATACATTAAAGTCTAAGATTACCCTGAACTAGTGCATTATTTACAGCTACTTTTGTATTTTATAAATGAAAACAGCTGTTCGGTTTTTACATTTTATTTCAGTGTATTGATTTGAATAAAGTATTTAAGGTAAAGAAACAACCCGATGTGTGTTTTATATGGTCCTATAAAATAATAAGGTTCCATGAAGGTAAGAATGGTCCTGAATGTAAGTCACAAGAGGACAAATATAGTTAATTTTTGACACTGTTGTCAAATTATAGTATTTTAGTAGTAACATGCTATAAACAGTAAAAGAATTTGAGATGCAACTGACAAATTTCTCTCTGTTTTTGGTATATAATATAATTTAAACTAAAAGAAGCTTCAGTATAGTCCTTGACTGTCTTGAGTCAAAATGAAGAAAAGCTTTGACCGTTGAGCAAGAAGAATGGATGTCATGGATACACGTAAACATGCCACACATAGACTTTAGTTACTTCACAGCTACATTTACAGAGGTGAGTGGCGTTGAAAATCCTGGTATATTACAATTTAGCTTAATTTTATTTGAACAGCTATTTTTTAAACAATGCCAAAAAGTCCAGTATTGGGAACGGAGTGCTTACTGGATGACCCGACGCTGGTAGAGGAATTCAGGAGGTTAAAAAAATCGAGATTTGACAGAGACGTACCTATTTCAAATAGCATGTGGTTCGTTGGGACCACAAAAATGCAGCGGCAGTGCCTTTAGGAAGCATATAATGGATAAAATGAAAACATCACCTCGTCCACAGCCGAAACACATCGACGCTCGACCTGCAATGCCTGCATCAGACCACAGAGGCGCAGCTGAGTTTTACTCGCGTTTACCTGGAGACAACCCTGAGGAACTCCCGGACTGGATCAACGACAGGAAGGCGTTCAGAGAAGCGCTAGAACGGATGGGAGATCTGCGCAGATGGCTCCGCAATAAACCCATTCTCACCGATTTGGAGGTCCTCGTTATGGAGCGAGACAGACAAGCTAAGCGGATGTCATCACTCCCTCCAAGAACAAGCATTGTTCTACCACCAGATGCTGTCACTGTAGGAACATAACTTAATATTGACAATGAAAACACGATATATATATATATAAAACACGACTTGCATTAGAAAGAAAAATTGTTAAACCAAATAGTTTGTGCATTTATTTTTTGGGAGGGTTTTCAAATTTGTCTTTATATCATAGTCTCCGTGCGCGCTCAGACGTGAACTTGAAGAAGTGAAGAGCTTTCTGCGCATGTGCGAGCCCTGCAACCTCTCCAAACTCTTGGACTGGAATGGGACTGGTAAATTAAAGCGTGTAGACCTCAGTGCTCTGTTTAAAAAGGTGTGCATTCACAGCTCTGGCTGTACATTTGTTCATTAGTTTTTTTTTTTTGCACAGACCTAAGAACATTGTAGAAACAAACAAATGTGTTTTGGGTTCGATTGTAGGAAGGCTTCTCCATACATCCTGAGCGGCTGAATGTGATGATGTCCTCTTTTAATAGTATGGATGGAAACTGGGTAACTGTGGAAGTTCTGGCTGCTTATATTCAGGCCTGGAGCAGAAAGCATGAGGAAAACGAAGAACAACAATCAAGCCCAGGTATGTCTTGGTCTGGGGGTAAAGATAGGGCCAAATACTTGTCCAAGTGCAAATGTGTAATAGTGAACGTTCATTGCTTACAGCGTGTAACATCATAAGGTATTGCATGTTTATGTTTAGGTTATTGGAATGCAGACTGTGAGGGAAGGATTGGGTCAAGACACCATCTTCCAATACATGGAGACGAGAAAGATGACCAGGTACAGAAACACGTAATCATATAAAAATAACTATCAATTTTTATATTTAAACATAAAAATAAATATCAAAGACCATTACAGAACTATGTTCCCACCAAAGTACTGTTTATAAGGGCAATTAAAACTAGAATTATGATCACAAAAGTTAAATCTTTATTACTATTTGTATACAATAATGTTAATTACAGTATCAAATTATGTCTGGTGAGTTATGCTACATACATAGTAGTAAATGTAAACATTTCTAGGAGGTCCTGCAGGACGTGGAGGTGTTAGCGATCATGCGGAGAGTGCTGGCAGCCACCAAGACCTCTTGTCCTTCTTCTCTGAGTGGCCCAGTGGGCAGAGAAGTGGATCGTTTCAGGAGACTTTGTTTCAGTGAATACCTGAAATCACTGGAGCAATGCCAACGACAAGGGCTAAATGTGAGCCAGGTCACACTACAGAAAGGTATGTTATATAATATATAGAAACTGCACATCTACAAGCACACTAGAGATGGCATAGTAAACCATTGAAAAATGAATGCCGAATACAAATGCAACCTGACAGTGTCTCTTTCTCTAAGTCCTGTTGCACCCTGGTGACAAATTTGGAGGTTACTTTGGGACACCCAAAACACATCGAGTTGAAGGTGGAGCACATAAGGGCCACAAAAACATGTAAGTCACTGTATGATAAAAAAAAATCTACTAATCAGGACCAGGACGAGGAGATTTCTATGTCTATTTATTTGTTTTGTTAACTTTTCAAAAATTTCAGGTTAGTAAGATGGGTTTAAAAAAAAAAAGAAATTAATGCTTTTATTTAGCAAAAATACATTCAATTGATTGAAAGTGTCAGTAAAGACACTTTACTGTTGGTATTCATCTAAGAGTCCTGCAAAAAATGGATCACGGTTTCCACAAAAATATTAAGAGGCACAACTGTTCTCAACATTATTAATAATAATAAAAAATGTTTCTTGAGCACCAAATCAAATTATTTCTGAAGAAGCATGTTACACTGAAGCCTGGAGCAATGGCTGCTGAAAATTCAGCTTGGCAATCATTAGAATAAATTACATCTAAAAAATGACTGAAATAGAAAACAGATATTTTAAATCATGTTAATAATATTTCACAATTTTACGTTTGTACTGTATTTTTGATCCAATAAATGCTTTCAGATACATTTTTTCAAAGAAAGATATTAAAAAACCTTACAGACCCCAAACTTTTGAATGGTATAGGGCATGTTTTAAATAAGAATGTTTTATTTTGGTTATGTCTGTATATGTGTTGTAGGAAGCCGGTTTGCTGGGTGGACCCTAATGCTTTCTGGCCTGGAAGGGAAGATCATGTGCGTTTGTTTCTGCCTGTAATGACAAGCTCTCCTGCAATGGTTTTATTTCAGCGTATCGAACATACTGTTGTGCCAAGTCCTGGACACTGGCCTGTAAATCATTTAGGATACTCAACCTCTGGAGACATAGAAGCTCACAAAACATACAGCCTCTAGAACATCTTTGACTGTATTGAATGTCTGTAGGGATGTCAAATGGGAAATTGTTGTTTTGACTTTCTAAAAAGTACATTTCTACCATTAGATGGCGGCACGCAAACGCTGAAATTCTACTGTAGGTGCGCTGCTGTTTTTAGCTACACAGGTCTTTGCTTTTTTTCACTCAACATATTCTCCTCTGTGGCGGAGTGAACTAAAGCAGTCATGTTTGATTTAATAAATACTAAATGTAAAATTTTCTCTCAATATTGTTTTTTTTTCATGTACAGTATGAAGTATGAATGTAGAAATTACTTGTGTGTGTTGTGTGAATAGAACTCTGTTTTCCTGTTTTCTGTATTCCTGACACCAGGGTATTTGCATTAGGAAGTATAAAGCAGAGTGATTTGTTTGATGATATAGATCAGGACACCTGTGAAATGAGAAAACAGAAAGAGCACACTGTAGAAGAGAGACGTCAAAGATAGAGGATACGAATTTTGAGATGTCACGAATTTTGAGTCCGCTCCTGTCGACTCGTGAGAACGGTCTTATCTTCAGTTTACTAAGTCATGACTGCAGTGTGAGTACACTTTTTTAAATACTTTTCCTCATGCCTTTTACTTATTTGTTTTGTTATATATTATGATATCGGATCTAAATACCATAATTATTTTTAAAAGAATCTATACTGTGTACTAGAATTGCTGTAATTGCATTTCCATTATTCATTGTTAGTAGTGTGTTGCTTGAGACCTATGTCATTCTATGACATAACTTCAGAATAGATATTTCAAATAACATGAACTTTTACTGAAATAAGGTTTTATTATATATATAGCCTATATTTTATTTAGTTTAACCTGATGTTCAAAAATAACTGAATTAAAAAAAAATATATATATAGACAAAAAATGACAAAAACAACAAAATTAGTAACTTAAAATGAAAACTCAAAATAAATTCAAAATATTAACAAAACTATAATAATATCTCAACGATACTAGAATAACAGTGACTGGGACACCCAGACACTTGGCTGGTGTTTTATGCTCTTTCCACACACTTCTTTCGCTTTATCTGGAATACACAACCTGATCCTAACCACTGACCACTGGTTTCTCTGGTTTGTAGCCAGAACACATGGTTATTTTAATTATTCACAGATATAGAGCCTCAGAGGCCAGTCATAGTACAGACACATATATTTGTTTTTCAACTATGCAAACTTATGCAAATATGCAAATATTTCCCACAAAACTGCATATTTGTCCAGACTAAAAGGTACTAAACAACCACTGACTGCACTGTCTGCAATGCAACTGGATCTGTATTTGTGGTTAAAAGTGTATTAATTAAATATATATATATATATATATTGTGTGTCTGTGAATATGCACTTTACACTCAAAAGTATATATTCACAGACACACTGTATATGTATTTATGTATGTGTGTGTGTATGTTTGCTCATGTACATTACAGGTTTTAGCATGTGGTATTGTCCAGCTGGTAATGGCAGCCCCTCCACAGAAAAAGGAATGGAAAAGTCACAGTTCTGGAGTATTATGTCTGGTGCAAGATAAATCTGTGCATTCAACATTCATGAGAGTCTACTGTCTTAAGGTGAGGCTAACAGATAGAATACAGAAAGAATCAGAATTTCTTGGAATCAGCAGTGGAAGCAGTTTCAGGAAAAATCTCAAATGAAAACATTGTTACTAGATGATTTTGTGTACATTTCTCTTTAAATTCTACATTTATTCTACATTCTACAAATTATACATCAATACACACAATCGGTTTTTATATATTTCACACTAAACATCACAACATTCTCGCAAATGTCATCACTCTCTCTATCTTGTTAGTGTGATTACTTTATTTTTTTTATTCTGCACCTTCTCAGAAATGTCTTCTACAAAGTCTCTATTGTTTTTTGACCCGCTTCCACCACTTGTTCATGTGCAGTGTTTCTGCTTTAGACTTTTAGGCCATGTCATGATGTGTGACCGTGGTATTTCTTTCTCTTTGCAGAAAGCCAAGCTGCAATGGGAACAGGAGCTGTATACACCATTTGAATACTCTGAAACTTGTCCTTACTTCCATACCTTCCCTGGTGATGTGAGTGACAAATTCATTTCATTGCATGTATGTATGTGTGTAAGTGTTTTTATGTGCATCTATATGTGCACGTGGATCCGCATGCTCAACCAAGCATATTAAATCTCACAATTGACTAAAAATTTGTAAAAATGTTTTGTAAGGTTGAGGCTTAGGGGATATAAAATATCATTAGCTCAACAATAGAAAAGTAATAGAAGTCAATGGAAAGTCCTCATCATGATGAAAACCAAACGTGTGTGCATGCAGGAGTGTCAGATAGGAATAAACTTTACAGATGAAGATGAGGCCAAGCAGTTCTACATTGCTGTGCAGAAGCAGATCAGTGACAACAAAGGTCTGACACTCTGAACTCTCCTTGCAAATTGCATTAAAATAATGAATGTTGTGCCAATGAATGTTCCTCTCTTCTCCAGCATCTTCGGGACTTACACGCAGATACAGTGTGGGTGGTGTTTCTGACTGGAAAGAAAAACTTGACAGTTGTCTCAGAGGAAATGAATTGCACAAGAGGTGAGAAGCAAAACAGACATAGACAGGCAACCAGGGCAACCAAATAAAATGATTTTTACAAGCAAATATTATTTCAGTTTATATACTTACAAATTTGATGTTTAATTCAATGTATTACTTTCTGTTTATTTGTAATTGTAAGATTTATTGCAATTTCTGAGTGAAAATGTTGAAAAGTAAACCCCACAGTAGTATTTTTTTTCAGTCTATACTAGTTGGGTTCTGATTTTTTTTGTATTTTTTGTGGGTTTAATTCTGGCCATAGGCTTTCACTCAGAAGTTCACCCAGAGTTCCACAATGTCTTGATTCAGACGCAGCACTTCCAGAGAACAGACCCACAGTTGCTAGCACAATGTCCAGCCAATCACATGACTCACCACAGACTCGCTCTGGTGTTAATGAAGAGTCTATGTCGCTCGCCCAGAGGAAAGGGCCCCTCCCACCTATTCCCATTCATGCCAGGATGAAGTTGAATTGCAATGCTAGCATGCAAAACTTTGACTCCACTATTCCCATTCCATCATGGGTGCCACCCCCTCCATCTTACCAGGCTCCCACAGTCCCTCCAAGTTCAGTTGTAAGTATGTGCTCTTATATATACAGAAATGTGTGTAAATACCTGTTTAATGTAATTATATCTCAATGTGTTTGTTGTAGATTAAAGATCCCTACTCTGCTGGAATGAAGCACAATTTTCATTATAATGGTAACTCCTTTGTCTAAATGTAATTCAACTCAGTTTTCTCTTTAAGGAATATGTCAGACATGTTTCTATATTTGCAGCTGGCATCGAGAACGAATCTGGCTATGATGACTACCTTTAAAACCACCATCCTCTCCATCATTTAGGACTTTTTGACTTAGCAACAGTGGGATGTGGTCCACACAAGCACTTACACATGGAATATATCTTTATTAATTATATCATAAATTTCTGCAGAACAACTATAGATTTTTTAAAGAATGATTAATGATGTAATCAAAACTAATAAAAGCATAACAGTGGCTCATAACAGTTTCTGAAACAAGATATCAAACCATATAAATGCTAAACCTCTTCTCCTAACTAATTTCACTTGTTCTTAGTTCTTACAAACGAGTGTCCAAATACATTGTCTTAATTTTGAACAGTGTATCTATTGTTTTAGAATTTAAAACATGAATAAATGCTTGAAAGTGTACTTGTGTGTTATGTTGTAAATGGATATTCCTCCCAAAAATTAAAATTCTGGGATCATTTACACTGTCTTACTTTCTTTTATGGAACATAAAATATATTTTGAGAAATGGTGTTCCGGTGTTGTTTGGTTCCCAACATTCTTCAAAATATTTTATGTTCTGCAGAAAAAAGAAAGTCAAACAGTTTTGGATTAGAACAACATGAGGGGGAGTAAATAACAGAATCTTCATTTTTGGGTGGAGTATTCCTTTAAAAATAAATGACAGTTGGTTTTATATAATAGGCTACACTGACACTCACACAGTTTAGGTGAGACTTAACTATCCCAATACGTTTTGGATACTATTTATCATAGTGACTTTACCCCATTTACGTAGGTACAATCAATCAAGTGTTTTGTTAGAGGTTTGATGACAGCGTTAGTCAATGACAGCACAAAATGTAATAGCCTGTTCTGCATGATAGTGACTGATAAATCAACAGCTTTCAGATTTTGTCCCTCACTGATAGATGATAACAAAAATGTCAGCATTATCATCACATTCTGCCCTTGATTTTGAGTTGACCCATTGCGTGTGCATTACTGGTAATGAATGTACATTTACAAGATAAACAGTATGTACAGTACAGTTACTTTAAAGGTGACATATCATGAAAATCTGACTTTTCCAGGTTTTAAGTGCTATAATCAGGTCCCCGGTGCATCTACCAACCAAGGAAACGTGAAACTGATGGTTTTCGGTGGTGTATAAACATATCTATTTTCATAATGTCCTTTGGATAAAAAAAATTGACACTCCATTACTATACGTTGTTTTGTAAATGTGTGACAACCTCTGTCTTATGTGGGGTTTTCCTCTGAGTAAATGTTCTCTCGTAGTTTCACTGAAGACGTCTGTTTTTGACTTCTTTTTGGGCCTTTTAAAAGAATCAAGATGAATGGCCACAAGAGAGCTGGTTTTGTTTGGGTTCCTTAAAGGTGACATATCATGAAAGTCGGGCTTTTCTAGTTTTTAAGTGCTATAATTTAAGCGCAGAGGAGACAAGAGAGCAGTGGATTTATTGATTTATTTAATGTATATTGCTGCTGCCACACAGATCTAAATTAAACATGCAATTTATTTCCCAGCTGTTTATCTTCACAGACATAACCGACTATTTTTGTAATTTGTGTGTTTTTAACGTAAACTTGTGAATGAGAACTTAGTTTAGTACTTAACATGCTGTGACAGCCTCTTTCTGTCCGTGTGCTTCGGATGTGTGCACTCAGAAAACCGTATATCAGAAGTTTAAACTCATATGGTTTAAAAAGCATGATTTCAGCAAGATAAACATGATAATCAGAAACAAAACATGTTTTTTAGCAGGTCCAAGTTGTAATGGCCCAGCTCTATTCTGGAAAAGGGGGCGGGGAGCAGCAGCTCATTTGCATTTAAAGAGACAGGCCCGGAATACAGATTGTTTCTGCTTCCACTCAAAATAGGCATATTCAAAATTATATAATAAATGATCTGTGGAGTATTTTGAGCTGAAACTTCACCGACACATTCTGGGGACACCAGAGACTTATATTATTACATACGACATACGATATTTATTAAAATAAACCGTCAAATTATATCTAAATATTGCTAAATATACCGGATTCGTAGATGAACACTTTACAGTTGGGTTTGTGACTGTAAGTCATTCTCTTCAAATGCTATTGAAGTTACAATCATGTATACCAATGTCGTATTTAACTTTAGTTTCTGCTTCCACTCAAAACAAGTATTTTCAAAATGGTATAATAAATAATCTGTGGAGTATTTTGTATGGAGGACCAAACCTGCAGAAATTAAAAACGAATAAATATATAGATAAAGAAATGAATAAAATGACAGAAAAATAAATAAAGGAATAAATG